AAAACATGCTGGGCACATATGCATGTGTGCCCCAAATTCCAATAGGATGGAGAAATGGAGAAAGGATTGCCATATGATTGCACTCCACTGGAGAGTGTTTTCTCTTTTCTCTCTCTTGCAAACATGTGTGCTCACTGGTATTTAAAAAAAAAATTAAAGATGTTCACTTGCACATCCATGTTTATTGCACCAATATTTACAATAGCTAGGACATGGGATCAATCCAAATGTCCAAGAACAAATTAGTGGATTGAAGAAAATGTGGCACATATACTCTATGGAATACTACTTAGCCATTAAAAAAAGAAATGAGATCCTAACATTTGATACACAGTGGATGAATATGGAAGGTTTAATGCTAAGCAAGGCAAGACAGATTATGTTAGACAGGCATTGTATTTCCCCACTCAATACACACCAAATGAGTGTATTCTCTATAGCAGAAACTGAAAAATTGGAAGGTATAATAGCAGGGAGGGCAACTGTAGATGCTAGAGACAGTATGGGGAGGTAATATGGAGTGGGCAATAGAGAATGGGAGGAAGGAGTTCAGGGAAAAAACAAACATACTTAATAGACACAAAAATTAAAAGTTATCTGCTAATTATGATGTATATGGTAATGTCTTTTACTTGGCTAATATGCTCTGTATTCATGTTGGGAAAAACACGTTGTACACTGTAAAGATGTACAGTGATTAAGTGTAAATTAAAAATAAATAAATTAATTAATGGATAAATAATACTTTGGAATTGAGATAAAACATATCAGTCTCATACACTGTAAAGATGTGATTAAATGTAAATAAATAATTTTTTTAATTAAAAAAAATCAGTCTTATCAATGAATGTGAATGCACTTAACTCTCCTACTAAAAAAAAATCTTCAATGTGGTTCACAAAGCAATGCCCAACTGTATGTGGTCTATAAGAACATATAATTCAGACAGGCTAAAAATAAATACACAGAGAATGATGTACCAGGAAAATGGAAACAATATGTAAGTGGGGGTTATGATTCTGATATCAGATAAAGTAAAATTTAGGCCAACAAATAAATAAATGTGACAAAAAGAATACTTCGTTATACTAAAGGTAATTTCACAATGTAGGCAGAACAGTTATGGAAATGTATGCATCGAACAACTGAGTTTAAAAAGCAGAAACTACAGACCCAGAGCTGTGGTGGAACAGGAAGTGGGGCACTGCTGCATGATATTAGAACCCATATAGGAGGTCCTGAGTTGAGATCCCAGGTTTGCCTGAACGTAAGATCCAAGAGTCTCTCTGTCTCACTCTCTTTCTCGTCTTTCTCATACAAATGAACTTTATTTTTTTTAAGAAAGCAGAAACTACAGATGAAAGAGATATACATAGAAACAGTGTTAATAAGACTTTGTCTTCTTTTTCTTTTTTTCCCAGTGTTGGTAGGACTTTAATACTCTCTTCTCAGTACAAAATAGATCAAGTGTTGTAGGGACATGTTTAGAGAGAGAACCTGAGGTATGGGAACATGCTCTGAGCAAACACTGCTTGTCCTTTTGGGCTCTGGAAGAACCGGGTAACTTGTGCATTCCTTGACCCTCACTGCAGACAGAGCAAGGGTGGAAATTGCTAGGGGCGTTCCAACAGACACATCTGATGGACTTCAAGAAACATCTTGGCCCCAATTAATAAAGTCCAATCCCTGCTCTGCATCTGCAAGGTTCTTTAGCTGTCTCTGGGTGTGGTGGTGCACTCTTTATGGAGTTCTTTAACTCCTTCTCCACACCTACAGCTAGGTTTCCTCTTCATTAGAAAAGATGAGACTTTCTCTTGATGGGATTATCACCAAGGGATACACCTGGCCTGGTATGACTAAGCCCTTATAGATTTGTTAACTGCTTCTTATTGCCTGTAACCTGGCAACAAATCTATGAAGTGTCATGAAACATACATGTGTAATGTTTCCTTGTACTATAAATAAAGAGGCCCAGTTTGTCTGGGTGGCTCAAGCAGCGACTCAAGTGTGACAGAGTTACTTGGGCTACTTAGGCCGGCTTGCTGGTTCCATTTCTTTTTTTTTTTTTTTAATTTTAAAAGTTCAATCTCAGGATGTCCCAATAGTTGAAATTCACAGTCTAGACTTTAGGACAGTTATTATAATAATAATCAGTTGGTAAAACAAAATATTCTCATAATGAATGAGAAACTAGGAAGTCTCAACATGGAAGCAGAAAATATTACAAAGTAATAAATATAATATCAGGACTTAAAGGTACAGTATTTGAAATTTTAGTTAGTTCAAAATTATTTCATGGTAAAAAGTAACAAAAAAGGAATATTTTTAAATGTTTATAAGGGGGCCAGCCAATGAAATAGCAGTTATGTCATTTAGACCCCCACATGGCTGACCGGAGTGCGAGTTCCAGGCCCTGTGGCTTCAAAATCATGCTGGGTACATGAGTATGCGTGCCCAAGATCCCAGGAAGAGAATGGAGGAGAAGGGATTGCAGCCTGGCCATCACCCCTGGGGTGGGGGGGAGAGGTAATTCTTCACTTTTTGTATCACTGTTTGTCTTTCTCTCCCCAGTGAGTGCATGTGCCCTAAGGCAAAAAACCTCTTTTAAAAAAAAAAAACAAAAGGTTTATAAGTACACATAGGAAGAGTAACTGTAGTTTTTATATATATGCACCCAAAGGTCATGAAAAAGTGGAATTAAAATACAAGTTAATTTTGGTGCAAAAATATTTTGAAACTCACTCAGTTTTTTAAAATATATAATGCACATTTTCTGTGACTTTCTGAGACTCCTCCTGTAAACTACAAATTACTAACAAAAAATAAGCAAAAGATATGGGTAGATGAGGCAAAGGAAAATATGACCAACTGCACTAGAAATTTGGGAGAAACAAATGCAAATAACAGTATGCTATCTCACACTTATTCAGATGATTGTCCAAAAATGATACAATTTGACAGTACTAGCAGGTGAAGGGTGAAAAGGAAAGGGAACTTTATTCATTGGCTTAACAATCTGGAGATCATTACCAAAATCTAGTAAAGTTGAAAGTGTGCCCTCCTGTATGTAATTCTGCACTCAGTTATGTGCCCTAGTGAATCTCCAAAGGAACAGCGTAGGGTTGTTCATTGCAGCATTTTTGACAGCTAGCGAAAAATTGAACCTAATTGTCATCAACCGATGACAGCAGATTGATAAACCACTTGTGGTATAATCACACAGTACATCTAAAACGAGTGAACTCTATATGTAGCAACATGTAGACATTTCAAAAATCAAAGCTTAGTTGGAAAAAGCAGAGAGCAGAAATGTATAAGGTAAAATTTATAAACACAGAAAAACAATAGTGGTACTGTTTAGAAATGAAAAAAGAGATATAGTCCCTGCCCTAGAGGAATTTGGGGAGCATTTAAAGAGTCAAACAACGGCGTGATCACAATACAGTACAATGAAATCACCATGAGAATGGACACCTGATACGGATGGGAAAGAGGGGGCCAGAAAAAGGTGAAGGAACATTCCTCAGAAATGGCAGACCTTCTATGCCCTCCACCCGCATTGAACTAAGTCCTGAAAGACAAGAAGGGGCTCCCCAGGTGAAAGACAGGAAGGATGAGTGTGTTTCAAACAGATCCGTGCCATTTGCTAAATCTCAGAGGGGAGAAGCTGCGGATCCCAGTTCGGAAACTGCCAGTGGTGTCCGAGAGCTGGAGCAGAGGTGGACGCAAGAAAGGCGGTTTTGTTAGAAGCCTCCAGCGAAGGCTCTTCAGAACAGACTAAGGAGTTTGACTATCCCCACAAGGTGGAAGGAAAGCTGGATAATGAAGCAGAGGAATAATCATTACAACCTGAGTAACACAAGGGGTGCCTTGAGAGTCAAGATCAGTTTGTTTGTTTTTTTTTTTTTTTTTTTGGTTTTGGTGTTTTTTTGTTTTGTTTTGTTTTGTTTTGTTTTGTTTTCCAGAAGAAAACCAGGCAAGAAATAATAGGGTCTCAACTTAGACAGAAGAGATAGTGACAGAGATAGCTTGTCCAACCAGTAGGATTTTGGAGGAATTGAGGAAGTCCCTGGCCTGGGCATCCTGGATGTGCGATGGAGTGATCAGGATGTCATTTTGTGCTCCTAACCTGATTGGACTTCATAAACACTTAGTTCAAATATAAAAAATGTATACCGAGAAAAGACTGACGGTGGTGGTTATCGTTGGAATGGGTTTTCCTGTGGGATAGGTGTGGCTTTAGTCTCATCTTGAACGTTTGAATTACGAAATAAAATCTGATATAAATGCAACATAGAAAAACAGTACCTGTATTACATCTCTGTGAACCCGCAGGGGTTATAGTGTTTTCTGTACTTTTTTTTTTTTTTTTTGAGAGGTTTTTTGCTATAGGGCGCGTGCACTCGCCAGACAAACAGAGAAAGACAGAGAGACAGAAAGCAAGAAATCACCCCCAGGGGGGATGGTCAGGCCACAATACAATCCCTTCTCCTCCATTCTCCTCTCGGGATCTTGGGCACACACGCACACGGCGTGAGTTTTAAGCCACCAGGTCCGGGACACGAACCGCGGTCGACTACGTGGGAGTCCAGCAACATAGCCATTACGCTAACTGCTGGTTCCTGTACTTTCTAAGTGTCGGAACGAAATTGAATAACCAAATGGGAAAATAAATAAATAAATAAACAAAAACAAAAAACGCAGCGGTAAGAATTAGAGGACAGAAGTACGTGAAAGGCTTTGAGCTCTATAAAGGGGTTAAACCACAAAGCGGCGGGGCGGGGAACGGGGGGCCCGGCG